AGTAGATGTAGTTAAATTTGGTAGTAGATGTAGCTAAATATGCTAGTTGACATAGCTAAATATGCTGGTATAAGTAGTTAAATATGATAGTAGATCTAAGTAAATACGCTAGTATAAATAAATAAATAAGCTATTAGATGTAGTTAAATTTGCTAGTATAAGTAGCTAAATATGCTACCAGATGCAGCTAAATATGCTACCAGATGCAGCTAAATATGCTAGTATAAGTAGCTAAATATGCTAGTAGATGTTGCTAAATATGCTAGTATAAATAGCTACATATGCTAGCAGATGCAGCTAAATATGCTAGTATAAATAGCTAAATAGGGCAGCACGGTGGCGCAAATAGTAGAGCTGCTGCCTCTCAGCGAGCAGGTCCCTGGTTCAAACCCCGGTCCAGGGGCCTTTCTGGGTGCAGTTTGCATGTTCTCTCCGTGCATGCGTGGGTTTTCTCCGGGTGCTCCGGTTTCCTCCCACAGTCCAAAAAAATGCATGTTAGGCTGATTGGTAACTCTAAATTGTCCCTAGGTGAGAGAGAGAGTGAATGGTTGTTTGTCTCATTTGTCTCTATGAGTCCCTGTGATGGACTTGCGACTCGTCCAGGGTGTCCCCCGCCCCTCGCACAGTGATTGCTGGACATGGGCACCAGTGACCCCCGTGACCCAAAATGGAATAAGCGGGTAAAGATAATGGATGGATGGAAGTAGCTAAATATGCTAATATAAATATGCTAGTATAAGTAGCTAAATAGTAGGAGTGTCAGCAAATGACCAATCGGCGACCTCAATTTGTCCCGAAGGTAAACGCCCCTTGTCTGTGGAGCTGCTCTGCAGCTGCTCAGGGTGGACGCTGGAGTATCATGTCTGAACCCTCTGCGTACCGTACACGCGTACGTACCCGGGAGTATACTGGGAGCTTTACAGTGTCTGAGGGGCTTGCTAAGACCCAGGGTCTCAGAACCAGGACAGGGTCTCCAGTGTGTGCGTGTGTGTCAGTGTGTGTGTCAGTGTGTGACCTGCAGCAGCCAGTAGCTTCTTCTGTGGAATGTTGGTACGATGGAGGAATGGACGTAGCAGCCGTAGAGGCACTGAAACAGAGAGACCACAGATCAAACATCTGAGCCTGGACCAGGAGGTCCTGGGAGAGCTTCGTGTGGTTCTACAGTCCTGGATCCACACACTGATCTCCTGTCAGTCATTTGATGGATAAATGTGGAGAACATGGAAAGTTTTCAGGTGCAGCTCTAAGGTTTAGAACATGTCGTGTGCTGTATCGCTGAGTTCTGGTTTTTCATTCTCTGGAAGTTAAAATCATCCAAACTACAAGAACCAAAGTCTGAAATGTTCCACTCAGTAATGAACCTTTCTGAAACGACCGATAAAACATCCAGAACTTCTTCAGGAACTTCCATTTTTTAGATGTATTTTCTCCCTGACCAGGCATCATCAGGTGCACCGACCTGTTGCTGTCAGGGCGTCTGTATCACCTGGACAGGTGTTTGTTCCAGCTGATGATGTGTAGTTTCTGTCCTGCATGTGCAGTGCTCACCTCCATGCCCTGGACCTTCAGCTTCATGTGGTCCTCTCTTGTGGTCTTTCCATCCTTCCTTTTCTTCCAGGAGTATCCGTCCTTCCTGTACTTCACCTTCTTCCTGTTGTACAGGATGATGCTGCCGTTCTTCGGCCTGACACAAACAACAGGGGAGGAATGAGTGACGCCCTCAGCTTCGTCTGACAGGCACATACAAGGACGGGATGGGCGGGGCTTACCTGGTCTTCAGGCTGCAGGAGAGCCACTCATCATGTCTGTCAAAAGATATGAGGTAGGAGGCGATCTCCTGAACACAAAGAGACAGAAACAGGTGAAGACTGTTGGATCCAGCACCCGGGAACTGGATTAGATCGGAGTTCTGAATTAATAAAATCATCAGAAACTGGAAAACAGAGTCAAATATTTTGTCATTATTTCCAGGTTTAAACAACATCCTCTTAGTCCATTCCCACCACACGGCTGAAGGAGAAGGCAGTTTATAAAGTTAGTGTTCCACTCAAACACTCGTTAACACTAACCTCGTCTCGTTAGCACCAACATCGAATCGTTAACACTAAATTTTTCTCGTCAACACTATTGTCTCGTTAACACTAACATCGACTTGTTAGCACTAACATCGCTCAGTAACACTAACATCGACTCGTTAGCACTAACGTTGACTCGTTAGCACTAACCTCGTCTCGTTAGCACTAACCTCGTCTCGATAACACTAACCTCGTCTCGTTGGAACTAACATCGACTCGTTGGCACTAACCTCGTCTCGTTAGCACTAACATCAACTCGTTAACACTAACCTTGTCCCGTTAACACTAACGTCGACTCGTTAACACTAAACTCGTCTCGTTGGCACTGGCATCGACTCGTTAACACTAAACTCGTCTCGTTAGCACTAACATCGACTCGTTAACACTAACCTTGTCCCGTTAACACTAACGTCGACTCGTTAACACTAAACTCGTCTCGTTGGCACTGGCATCGACTCGTTGGCACCGACATCGACTCGTTGGCACCGACATCGACTCGTTGGCACTAACCTAGTCTCGTTAACACTAACATCGACTCGTTAACACTAACATAAACTCGTTAGCACTAACATCAACTCGTTAGCACTAACCTCGTCTCGTTAGCACTAACCTCGTCTAGTTAACCCTAACATCATCTTGTTTGCACTAACCTCGTCTCGTTAGCACTAACCTCGACTCATTAGCACTAACCTCATCTCGTTAGCACCAACCTCGTCTCGTTAGCACCAACCTCGTCTCGTT